ATAAATCAAGTGAATTACAGAAGAAACATATAGTGAGGAGCTGCATTGAACACAGTCCACCACCAGGGGGCGATGTTGTAAATGAAATGACCTCAAACGCTTAGTAAACTCCGAAGAAGACCTGGGAGAGGAAGTTTGTTCCCTAAACAAAAGTCATGGAGGACAAGGGAGCAGAGAAAGGAGCAGAGGCCCAGAAACAGTTTCTTCGCCGCCGGCAGGACCTGGATTACTTTCAGAAAAACGCATCGAGCCTCCGCAGAAGGAACCTGCTGACCGGCCTGGGGTTCGGAGCTTTTGTGGTCGGCATTTGTATCCTTCAGGTCACTGATGTGCGAGCTGCTCATTTCCAAACATACCTGTTTAGTTTTCTCACATTGTTCACTTTAAAAAAACATATTTGTGCATTTAGCAGCCACCTCTGTATATATGAATGTATATGAATGTATATGTTTATATGAATATAGATTTTAAAATGGGTCCGAGTCATTATTGCGTCACCTCCAATAAATTTAACCAAATCTTTCCTGTATTGTCTGAGCTGGTGAGTAAAGATGTGTTTTTTCCCCACATCAATTGATAAGTTTTAAATTAAGCAAAAATGGTAAAGACAAAATACCATTTTACCTTTACTGTCATAGAGCTGTTTTGTTACTGTTGTGGTATTAGGTGTATATTTTCTAAGATTGTTGGCTTGTTATGAAAAAAAAACCCTCACCCAGCTTAGTTTGTATTTGAAGTAAATACAACGAAATAGTAGTACAAGTAATGCTGATTGTCAGGAATTTATAGGGTGTTTTAACTCAAAGAGAAACCAGGGACTATTTGTGTAAAGGAGACATGGGTAAAACCAACTTAAGATTCTGTTATTAAATATGATAGTTTAATAAGATATTAAGTAAGAAGGTGAGGAAGAAGCCAGATATTCAGAATAAACAAAGAAATATAATATCCGTTTTAACAGAAAGGTATTCTCAAAGTTGGTAATGCCACTTTCGTCTGGGGAAAATTTAGTTGTGTTGTGGACAGCTGGCAAGTGAAATTGATTATTTCTATGTTTATCTTACACAATTCTTCAAATATATGCACGAATGTTGCTAAAGCTTTTAAATAAATGTAATTAAATGTTAACGTTCCACATATTCAGACAGATAGTGATTTGAGGGCTCATATAATTAATCCAGGTAGATCAGGAACAGACCAGCTCTACTCTGCGCCAATATGCTGCTTGAATGTTATATGTTTATGATCATTCCTTAACATGGAGGGACTGAAACCTGTTTTTAGCAGGATTTATTTCATGTTTAAAGGGACCGAGTGAAGTGTGTGTGCTGTCAATAGTAAAGCCTTTTGTTTCTTTAAATCAGCTAAAGTAGTAAAGTAAAAGGGAGAAACGTCCTTTATTCCTACTTGAACATGTTTGTTTTTAATCAGTTTATTTAAAGAATGACTCCTGAGGATACCAATGATATGAAAATTTTTTTTATTTGCCTTACCAAATATGAGCAGCTTCCATTTTACTTGTGAAAAGTCTAACAAACTATTTTTATTGTCTCTTCATATTCTGATTACTTTTCATTTAGCATTCAATCAAATTCATRTCTTTTATCTGAAAGAATGCAATATTTGCCAGGAATTAAAGAAGTTTAATGATTCTTATATCACAAGGTCCCTAAAATCAACTATTTTTGTTTTTATTAATTTTATTTCGTCTGTCAACTTGGACATACAATTGCAGCTCCAAAAATTATAAGGTTTGAAAACGTTCACTTTTTTTGTCAGTCAGTTCAGAAAGTGAAACTCATATATAACATAGCTTCATTACAATTTGTAATAACAGYATTTCCCTAGCAGCTAATGGGAAAAAAAATGTCAACATATAAGCATCAACGTTCCCACATATCAAAAATATGAAACCAAGATTATTTTTCAGGGCATTGATGTTTTATATTTTTAGAGAAAAAAAGATAACTACAAACCCCACAATTAAAACAGATTGACAACCAGTGAAGAACTATACATCTGTGTTTCTGAAAGATTAAAAGCAGAAACATTTTTAAATGAGGGCGCATCATAAACAGTTTACATCTAGCAACAAGTATTCCTTTTTGTAAAAAGTAAATAATATTAAAAGGTATTTAGAAATGGAAATGATTAGAAGAAGAGTTTATTTTCAATTTAAACAAAAAAAAACAGCTTTTTAATAACAACTAAAGGTGACATAGATTATTATGGTATAGAACTTAAATATATGCCTGAGAAACGCATAATATTGGCCCTTTAATATGTTCAAACAGGAACACAACAGAAAGTGTCTGATCTGACAGTCACCTTTCAGTTTTAACTTAAGGTTTTACTGCACCACATTCATTAAAAGTTTGAACAGTTAATAAGTATCAAAGATTTAAAAATATATATATTTTTCAACTATCATTACAATTTTCTTTAACCAGTTGTTATCCAGTTGGCTACAGCATCATGTCGGTCAAACAGGAGAGAATCGTGGAGGAGATGGATGAAGAAGCTAAGATCCACATTGTTAGGGGACCACGGACTGGTGCCAACTCCTGAAAAGGATCTATGGGGACATTTAATATTTTGATTTGTTTGGAAGTGTGTAAAAATGTATTATTGCATTTTTTTGTATATTTGGAACATTAGTGTAAACCTTAATATGTCTGTGGTAAAACTTTTCTGCTCAAACACAGTTTTATGACTGTAGTGGTCACCTAAATGTGGAATAAACGTCCCACCTGTCTTTGACCTCTGAAGGCCTCCTTTTAAGAACAGAACTCTGTTCGTTTTATAGTCATAACTTGTTTTCTTAAACAATAGAGACATTTTATTTCATTTTATTTTCTTTAATCAAGATAATAAACAAAATAATAATGTTCTTTATATGTTTGATTTATATTTTCTCTTAACTAAAAGTTATCATATCATAAATCAAAGTTACATACTTAAATGAATGACAAGCTATTTTCTTACATATTTAAAAAAAAAACCACACAAAAAGATATTGTTCCAATGTTTCTTTATTTGTGTATGTATTTTAATCAACCGTTATAAGGAGATTATATGTTTTTGTTTTATTTTTCAATTCAACTAAACAATAATTATTATTTAGTTTACGTTTTACTATGAAAAACGTATGATTAATTGTGCTTAAGCTTAAGCAAAATCTTAAGTTTTATGTTGATTTGAAAAGTCCACTAAAGCTTGTTTCATTTTGAAAAAGTGTTAAACCTGTCAAGGTTTTACTGTTTTTAGCAGGTGTTGTTTTTGCTGACTGAGGCAATATCCACCAGATGGCTGGAAACCTCCCACACTAAACTTCACCTCCATCTTTTAACATTTCAAGGTCACGCCCGGTAGTCCCCTTTCTCTCTCCCTCCTTTAGTAACGGGCGCGTCTCTCCCAGATGAGTGTCCATCTTCCTTCCAAGCGAAGAGGAGCTGAGCTTTTCCTCCTCAGGAAAACCAGCGTTCAGGTGATAGGACCTTTGCCCATTTGCCAAAGGGCCAGTCATGAATCCCATTACCAGCAAACTCCAGGAAGTTTTGTTCCAGAACTTCTGTGAGACGCTTTTATTTTTGATCCGAGGAACCTGTCGGTTGTGACTCCACACAAGAGACCACGAAACGCTAAGATAATCAAACTCTTGAAGTCTAAATGCCTGGACAGCTTAATGTTTCCGAGCGGACCTTTTGTTGACTGGGTGAGGCTCCTCCACGCCTAAACCTGACTTTGAAGTCTTCAAAGGTAACGGCTGACCGTTTGATTAAAGGGCGTCTGTGTCCGGCTGTGTTGAACGAGACTCGAAAACTTTGTGGCTTCACACTTTGATAAGATAAAACCCAGTTCCCCTCCTTAACATCTCTTCCTCCTTAAATTCTTAAATCTTTTAGACCCTGCCAAAATCTTAAAGAATAGTGCCTCAACAATGGTTTATTTCACATCTTAAGCCAAACGTTCCTGATAAACTTGTCAAAAATAACAATAGTTAACACGTTCAAGAGTAAATTGTTATTGATTTCTACTTTTGTAAAAATCTGATCATCCCTCAATGAGTCTGTACATAAGTAATTGTTTTTCTGTACATAAATATAATTTATTTTAGATAAAACTTTACTGACTATGTCACTCATTAACTTTTTTACTGATAATCAAACAGAAAAGGTATTATTATCAACATTAAAAAGAACCCTTAATTCCTCATATCTTCGTTATGAGAAGGTGTAGGTATTAATCTACATGACCTCAAGCAGTTTCATGATTATCTTACATGTCCACCCAGACTGGCAAGAAAGACAATATAAAACCTTTAATCAACTAGAAAAATTTGCAATTTCTGTGAAAATGACTTTGCTGAAATTTGTCCAAACAAACAGAATATAATCTAAATTTAGTAAATCAGTAGTTGAATAAATTTAACAAAATTGATAAGCTAAAATTAACAAAACTGCGGCTAAGGTGTAGCCAGCAAAACAGCAGTGTTAAGTCTCTGCAGCCTAATTCTATGWTTTAAAAGCCAATGGATTTTGTATTTCACCTTGTTCTCCCAGTTATTAGAAACAACACAGATTTAGTTTAGCTGATGTGCCTTTTTTTAACCTGTTTAATAAATTATTGCTTGTTGATTGATTAAAGCAACTTTTACTGATTATCTACATGCGTTTTGACCAAATGAACCACAGCACCTGCCTGACATAGAAGTGGGAACAATAACTGGTCGGCTTCACCTGTGATTGATTTGTGAATGACCCGAGGGAGCTTAAAGACAGACTGGTCTGTGTGGCTGTCTTGTGAAAGAGGCTAAAGTTACTTCATTTTTCTATTTCTAGACAAGACAGCTAGACTGATATTAGGCAACTGATTCTGAGTGAATGTTCTTTGATGATGTGTGTTCTTGTTGTAAAACTTTAGATCAGCACCATTTATATTTTTTACATCTTGTTGAAATCAAATCAGAACTCTTAAAACCTTGCCTTCTCCAACGAAGCACTGCAGTTGCCAAAGTTTGAGGCAAGTACACACAGTGGCGGGCAGTGCATTTACACCAAGGCGTTCGATGGGGGGAAGAACGGGCTGACACGACACCGGCCACAGAGATTCAGAGTCTGCAGCATCAGAAAGAGCAGGGAGGGAGGAGAGGCTGCCAGCTCTGAGACTTCATAAATTTTCAAGTTCTATTTTTGAATCTCTCAATACTCCACAAGATTCTTTCCCCTCCACCAGTTCTGACAATCAATATRTGGCACAATCATTTTGTTTTTCTCCTCTTAACATTTTCAGAGTTACATAATGCAATCAAAAGTTTCGATTCTAAAAAAATCAGCTGGTCCAGATCATCTGGATGCATTTTTCTTAAAACAAGCTGTTGATTTTATGTCATCTCCTCTGACATATATTTTTAATCTTTCCCTTAGTAAAGTTCAGGGGTCGGATTTATAAAAATAGCGTACGCACAATTTGAGCCCAGAAACTTGCGTACGCCACTTTTCAC